GGATAGTCGTTCTACTAGCTCTTTGAAGTGGGTTCGGTGCAACTAAGCGCTTTTTATGAGTCTATAATTTGATGAGGATGATAGATCCAGGCTAGTGGATTCTCAAAACGCCTTGCAGTCTAACTTTAAATAGTGTACTATGGTAGGTTGGTTCCAAGGATGGCCGCAACCACATCTCCCACCTTGCAGGTCTTTTGCAGTGAGATTTTGCTACTTCACTCATCAGAAGGTAGAATTCTTCGCCTCTTCCTGGATCTGGCTGGCCTTATCACTCGCATAACCCATAGAACTTGGCAGAAGTAATAACGTGTGGATTCTGAAGCTGGGCTTTTTTGACATGTTATGGCTTCTCTTTAACACTTTTAGGATGCTGCTACTTGGATTGTTTTCTCGAGATTGCTGTGCTTTGAGAAAGTCTAAGCTAACTTTATGAAAATGCCATATATAGGAAAGATGGGGTTCCCAGGCTGAGAAGCCCAGTCAGGCCTAGTTCCCAGCCAGTCTACTAGCTGAAAGGGGGAGAATCATCTTATCAACCCACAGGATCAAAAGAAAGAATAAATCATTGTTTTAAGCCACAAAGTACTGGGATGGTTCGTTACACCACAATAGATACTTGAAATACACCCTCACATAATATCTCATAGAGCAGTTAGGAAAAAAAGAGCATTTATAAAGCTAAGAACTTTCCTGACTTTGTTGGTTATCCTGTCTAGGTCACTGACTCACATGTGGGACACGCTTTTCCTGTGTAACCAGGACAGTCACAGTTTTCAGGGTTTTGTTGCTGTTGTTGCACTGACTTCCATTCTCACAGGGTCCACAGGAGAACTGGCACCCTGGTCCCCAGAGGCCAGCAGAGTAGGCTTGTAGAATAAAAATAAAGAAAAAGGAAGGAGTAAAGTCTTATAAGGAATCTCAACATGCTCCCCGATTTCTTCTGTTGCCTAAGTGAGTTAGAAAAGTGTTCATGCGTGTGTATGCGTCCGTATGTGTTGTGTGTGTGAATGTATCTATGTATCACTGAGCTGCAAAGAAAGGAACATTCGAGTAGCCTCCAAGGATTTATAGCCCTTCCAAAGACATTCCCTGAAGAAATCAACATGATGCCAAAACTTGTCACTTTGGAAACACAGATACAGAGGTGCCTTTTTTTTTTTTTTTTTTTTTTTGCTGAAAATGTGGTTTTTCAGACAGTAACAATGGAAGCAATTTTGATACATATCTTTGGGGGCAGTTGCACAGAACAAAACCTGAAAATGAGATGTAATTTGTCAAGGAAGCTTAGGAGTTGCCGTGCTTGGGAAACTGTCCCCAAAGGGCTGCCTGAATCCTGTCCCAGTCTTTGCTTCTTTTGCAAGCCAGAAAAATCACCCCAGAGCTTTATAATTTGTGTATTTTATAAAAGTGTGCAATGCATAAAGTGGGCAAAGAGGAACATGTTGCTGCTTTGTGGAGCGCCCTTTGAACGAAAAGGATGGCTGATGCCACAGGGCCCGGTGAAGGCTCAGTGAGAGGGTCCAGCGTTTGTCCTACCATGGACTACTGGAATTAGAAGCCTCGTGGGAAGCATTCTTTTAACACAGGGAAAACCTGGGAACTTTCCTAAGCATGACAATTGTGAAAAGCGGCATCCATCCAAGTTGGGCTGTGAAGTATCTTCTCATCCTGGGAAGAATCTCTGAATAACAGAATTGTGACATTTTCTGGGATGTGCATACCATTCCTGGCTATTATGTATCGATCATTACTCAGTGCCAAGCACTTTACATAAATTAGCTCACATTTCCATAAATATCTACTTGTGATGTCAGCAATTTTATCTCCTTTTTACATAAGAAACTGAAACTCCAGGAGGTAAAGTGACTTGCTTTGAGTCACACAGCTAATAAGTAGCAAAATAGGATGTGAACCCAGATCTTCTGGCCCTTTGAGACTGAAATTCAGCCACCATGCCTAACCTGTGCTACAATACGAGCACCTCTCAAGTCAACTGACTTGCTTTTAGACACCCATCAGAGCTCAAAGTTCAAAATCCGTCCAGCATGGAACTATGGTAACAAACATCTGTCCTTCTTTGGGCTGTCGAGGCCTCCTTTGATGGACTCAGTGGGTTCTCTGGACCAGAGTGCTCCACATTTAGAGGTCTGCCTGCAGTTGGGATCCAAAGTACCACAGGCTACAAACTAATCAAAATAAGGCAAAGACACTGTCATTCGCCCTCTTTTTCGCTATTTCACAGATTCACATAGAAACCAGCTCTTCCACTCTTAGAAGTCATTGCTGATGGGCTAAATAAAGCCTGGTGCTGATTGTAGAGAGCACTGTTCGTTAGTGCCATTGAAACGATCTGCAGTCTTTAATTAACTATTCATCGGCAATCTAGATACAGGTCTAGAGTTAAGATTTTTAAAGCTATGTCTGGCTCTAGGAGCACTTGGGCTACTTCACTTTTTTAAAAAAGAAAAAGAAACACAACAGGCCTGATTTTCATCATGCACAACTCTTCGAGAGCTCTTCTTGCCTTGATTTCAACTGCCAATCATGGCGATCCCATTCACCCGCTCCAGTCTGATTCATAATTTCATTTTGTGGTTAGACAAAAATATCAGAATTGGACAAAGTTATCTGATTGAAAAATAATATGTTTTCCAGAGATTATGGTGACCTCTCTATTTTGCTAATTTACATATACTTTCAACTCATTTTCCTTCACAGTGGGAATCTCAGAAGCATTTTCCAATAAAGTATATTCGGCAGCTGCTTTAAGGAAATGTTATCAGAATAAATTAAATCTACCCAGATGTCTGTATATGGTGTTGTCTCCTCATGCGTTGACTTCCAGGGCATGACTTCTTTAGCGAGTTATTGAATAGGGGGGTGATTCTAGGTCTAAAAATCAGTTAAAGCAGGAGGAGGTTTAGAGATTGGCATGGGGCCTACTCTTAGATGATGTTAAACACACTTGTGCTATGTCAGGCTTGTGTTTCCCTAAGTTCTTTTCTCCTTAGCCTAGAAAGTCACAATGCAGCTACAGAAACAGTCCTTTCTCCACAAAATCTAGATGGACACTGCTGCTCACATACTCCAGCTTCATAGCCATAGGACAACCTGGAAGCCCTCATTCCCGTTCAGTCAGCTCCAGAAAATCCCTGCAGACCATCTTAAGTTGACAATGCAAGGAGAAATGTGTAATGCTTGAAGGCAAAAGACAACCTTCAATTTCAAGGCTTACCTCTGTAAGTGAAGCCAACAGTATGATGGCTTCCTTTCAACCTAGTCACCCCTCCTGATCTTTTTTTAAGTCTGTTTATTTATTTTGAGAGAGAGAGTGTGTGTGTGAGTGGGGGGAGGGGCAGAGAGAGAGGGAGAGAAAGAGAATCCCAAGCAAGCTCAGTGTTGTCAGCGCACAGCCCGACATGGGGCTTGAACTCACAAACCGTGAGATCATGACCTAAGCAAAACCAAGAGTTGGAGGCTTAACCAGCTGAGGTACCCAGGCGCCCCACTATTCCTCCTGATTTTTAAAAAGATCGCTCTTTGGGGGCACCTGGATGGGCTCAGTTGGTTAAGCCTTCCACTCTTGGTCTCAGCTCAGGTCATGATCTCACGGTTCCTGAATTCGAGCCTCACACTGGGCTCTCTGCTTAGCACAGAATCTGCTTTGAATCCTCCGTCCTCACGCCCTCTCTATGCCCCTTCTCCTCCTTCTCAAAAATAAATAAACATTTAAAAATTAAAAAAAAAAAGATTGCCCTTTGGATCACTTCAAAAGCAAAAAGTTCACTTGACCATTTAGTTCTGATAATTGTATAATTATATTTGTTATATATTCAGTCTTTCTATGTATGAAAGAAAAAAATGCTGTAAGAATTTCCTCTGAATAAACAGTAACAAGTGCTTAATTCAGAATACATCATAATAATATAAGAAAAATTTATAAAGAATACAAATTGAACCATGAACATTTATGTATTCATTTAAGAAAATACTTATTGAGCAACTCCAAAATGTTAGGATTATTCTAGGAGTTTGGGAATACTTTGGTGAACAAAGCAAACAGATAGCCTTCCCCCTGTGGGGATTAACTTCTAGCAGGAAGGACAGGGAATAAATATTAGACATAATCATAATTGGAGTATGTTATAATAATAAAAAGACTAGTATGTTATAAATACTATATATATACTAGTATACAATAAAAAATAGGATGTTAGAAGATGATACATACTCTGGAAAAAATTTTAAAAGTTCAAGGAGTTTTGCAAGTTGTTAATTTTAAGTAAGGCAGGACTGACAAGATTCAGTGAAAAAATGACATGAAACTTTGTGAACTAGTGAGAGAGCCAGGTAGATACCTGGGGAGAAGCTTTCCATGAGTCCACAAACCAGAGAAGCTATTACTAACATCTTGATCTCGGAATACGTTTTCCTAAATCGTATATGCGCATGCACATTCACACATCTACATATGTTACTTATAATTGGAATTATGTTGTATGTAAACTTTTATATTTATGGATTTCTTAAAAATATTTATGTAATATTTAGACATTTGAAAAAAAGATGATACTGATACCCCTACTTCAATTTTCAAAAACTTCTCTATGGTCAGAATCTTTGACTTGTGTTTATTTGAGTGATCTATCTTCAGGTATAAAGGAAACAATTCTTTAACTCTGGAAGCTAGTACCCTTGGTTGATTACTTCAGCTCAAAGAAGCGATTGGTCAGCTTTAATCTTAAGATAAGATTCTCTGCAATGCGATCATTCTTCTGCTCAGGCTAGCAAGGAGACAGCTAAGAGCAGAGGCTGAGAAGACAAAGTAAAATAACTTCATTGCCATGTGTCTCAGTTTCCTCACCTGCAAATAGGGGATTAATAAAGCTTACCCATCTCCTGAAAACACTGGGGGATTAACCAATTAATGATCATATGGTGCCGAACAAAGGCTGAGCATTGTTATTAGAGAAGAAAGAAAATGTATCATCAGATTGTACCTTTCTGGCATCTGTTGCCTTGGTAACCAGATTTGCAGGTGCAACTGCCATTTTTGGCACTGCATTCCAGGGTGTTCTCCTCCACACACTGACATTCTGAAGAGCAGCCAGCTCCATAGACCCCCTTGGGACAGTCTGCAAGCAGATTGAGGCAAACCGGTCACCTGAAAACCATGCTTTGTTTCTTTTACATTGTCAGTGTACAGGCATGTAGTTCTGCGGGGCCCGATTATGGGGAAAACAAGGGGATCATCCTGACTGCCAAAAAAAGAAACAGAAAAACAAATGTCTTTCAAATCAGGCAATTCATTTGCTTTTTGGCAACTGGATGTGAACAGTGAAGCCTGAACTACTTAAAAGGCTTTGGTGCTTCTGGGAGAGAAATTGCTTCTCAGTGTGCTCCATTGGTGCCTATAGTTAATATTCTCCAAGGACTGTTAAGATCTGCCAGGCCCTATATTCATCGGGTCGCATCAAGGGGATGATGGACAAGCACTGATGTAAAGGCTCACCATTGTTTCCATTCCCTTTCAATATATGGTAATCGGAAGTAATTTTACATCACGTAGATTACACAAAACTTTCATCGTGACAGCCGCATTTTCTTGGCCACATTCTTTTGGCAAATGGTGTTTGCCTTTCCTTCATTATTTTCCCCATGCCGTTGAATTTTAGGGATGGTAGTCAGCACAGGAATTCTAATTTGAAGTCCCACCTTTGCATTTAGGAAAACATAGCCTTAGCTCTGTCTTTGAGAGGTTATTTACAGTAATTCAATTCCCTTTCCAAAACCTCTGACATGTTTTTTCCTCCTCCCATTACAAATGTCCAAGGGACTAATCAAGATCCTTCAAGTAACCTCCAAGCTCCAGGTAACTGCATTGTATGCCTACAGAGGCTTTGTTCTCAAAAGCTGCGTGGAGAAAACAAAATAAGCCACTTGACTTTCTGCTAGATGGAAATTATTAGTATCTGCTAATATCTGCTATTATTAGAAGAGGTAATTTAAAGTAGTGGTTATAGTGCCACCATGCGGGGTAATCCTTGTCCTAGTTGCCAGGAACAGAGTTACCCCTAGAAGCAGAACAGATTTATTAACAGGACTCCTTCTCACTGTTAATATTGTCCCATTTGGATGATAAATTACGTGATCCCTCTCTAATCCTTCCTGTGGCTTAGACCAACTAAATTGCAGGCCTCTTTCTCAGAGCTTTTGTCCTCCTTGATAGGACTCTTGTGAATTCCAGAGCACTCACTTCCCTGGACTGGCTTCCATGCCTTACTCTTCCTGGTTCAGCATGGAGAACAGTGGTTCAGGGAACAGCTCAGGCCTGATAGAATATGCTTAAATATGACAACTGGACATATTAAGAAGCTATAACTGAAAATTTGCTTAGGGAAAAAGGAAAAGTGGAGTAACATCTTTGGCAATCCCATATCTACTCAGGGTTCGTTATGCATTGAAATGTGTCCTTCATAATTCTTATGTTGAAGCCCTTACACTCAGTACTTCAGAATGTGTACTTACTTGGAAATTATGTGGTTGCCAATGCAATTAGTTAAGATGAGGTCATAATGGAGTGGGATGGGTCTGTAACCTGATATGACTGGTGTCCTTATAGGTAGGTAAAATGCGTGCACAGAGACACTCACACAGGGAGAATGCCATGTGAAGACTGGAGTTAAAATGGTCACTAGCCAAGGAACTATGGGAAGCTTAGAGAGGTCTGGAACTGATCCTTCCCTAGCACTTTCAAAGAGATCATGGCCTGCCAACACCCTGATGCCAGACTTCTAGCTCCAGAACTGTGAGGCAATAAATTTCTGTTGTTTAGAGCACTTAGTTTGTGGTAATTTATTATGATAGATTTAGAAGACTAATAGAGGGTTGCAAAATGAAGGTTCTGAGGGTCAGGTAAGTGGCATTAATAAATGAAGCCTTGAATCTAAGCAATAAGGATCCTGAAGAACTAGAATGTGTATGTTCTTCCTAAAGGTGGTCACTTTCAAGATGGTAACCACCATCACTACCACCACCATCTGCTCTTTGACTTTTTGACCAGATGGATTATGATTGAAATGTTTTTGCCTAAACATGTGATATTACCTTATAAAATATTCAAGTTATTACTAAAAATGGGGTGTGTCCTGTTACCCTACAGGAACAAAAATAGAAGTGATGCTATCTTTGTTTCTAGATGGGTCTCCTTCTCCTGGTATGTTCTAGGAGGTATGTCATGTTCTAGACCATACCATCCACACCTGCATTGTTCACATGTACCCATGCCTTTTCCCCTTTCCTTCTGTTTTGCTTGTCCAAGTCTAACCTTTCCTCATGACCTAGGTTCAGTTTTCTATGGTGCCTTCTCTGGCTCTCTTATTGGAATATTCACAATTTACTCTCTGTCTTCAATGGGCATACCTTTCAGAAAGTAGATAAGATCCATGAACATTCAACTAAAAATATAACGTAAGACCCCAAAAGGTCTCTGTTATTAAAAAAAAAACAGGTCACAGTATTACTGAGGTCCACTGAGGAAGGATTTCCAGAGAAGGGCATGTGAAATGGGCAGAAGAAGAGGGTAGGGACTGCTGTGGGCTCACAAGTGTTTGCACACCGTTTCAAGATGGGGTGGTGGGCAACCAGTGCTGACCCACTGGGAGAAACTCTAAAAGTTACTGATGGCTGGCTGAAGTATTTACTGGTGATTGTGTTTTCTTGCAGCTTTTGCAAAACATGGTTGATGGCCAAAATGCGAAATGAATAGCCTGTTTTAGAAATTTTATGGAATAATCATTGCTTTGTATTAGAACACAGAAATAAAAGAAACTAGCACTGGGCCTTTGATATTCAATCCCCAGAAAGTGTCAAATGTCCATCTAATTTTTTAAAAAAAACTTTTTGTTAATATTTATTTATTTTTGAGAGAGAGAGAGTGTGTGTGTGTGAGCAGGGGAGGGGCAGAGGGAGAGGGGGACACAGAATCTGAAGCAGACTCCAGGCTCCAAACTGTCAGCACAGAGCCTGATGTGGGGCTAGAACTCACGGACTGTGAGAGCATGACCTGAGCTGAAGTCAGATGCTTCACCAACTGAGCCACCCAGATGTTCCTCAAATGTCCATTTAAATTAACTAGTTAAATCCTCTCAGGGTAAGCACTAACTAGAAAAAAAGTGTAAATAATTCACAAATATTTTTCTTTCATTCATCAAAATCTAGATTTTATAATGTCAGGAGGCTAAATAAAGACTAGAACATAAACCATCATATATATGATATGACTATATAAAATGTTATGTTTTTTACTCTCTTTCTCTAACATATTTTTGGTACTTTTTTGAGCCTTCTTGCTTCATGTAGAGTACAAATTATTGCCCATGACTTACTCAGATGAAAAAACCTCCCATAGGGCCCTGGCTCACACATAAGGCACCATACACCCTGTGGCAATGGTCATTGTTGGCACAGTTATATTTCTTTTTGTAGTTCTTCCCAAAGGATCATTTTTGGGCATCCTGGAGGGTTGGAAGGACAAACAAAGCGAACACTACCCACATGCAAAACTCGCAATGCTGCTGTTACATGAAATAAGGGGATTGTAGAAAGGAAGATGTTTGCACTGTAATTGGACTGAAGCTAGAGAGATTTTTCATAAACTCCAAATATGATTCCAAATCCTCTGTCTAAAATTTGGGGTGCCTGCGTGGCTCCGTCAGTTAAGCATCCGACCCTTGATTTCAGCTCACAGTTTTGTGAGTTTGAGCCCTGTGTCTGCGGGGCCAGTGGGGAGCCTGCTTGGGATTTGCTGTCTCCCTCGCTCTCTGTCCCTCCCCCACTCATGCTATCTCCGTCTCTCTCAAAATAAATAAATGAACCTTAAAAAATTTTTTTAATTAAAAAATAAAATCAAATTCTACAGTGACTTGCCATTGCTGTCAGATTAAGAACTCCAAACTTAGTAAGATTTATGAGCCCAGGCACCAGCTGACTTCCTGTTGCATTAATGTCTCCATAGTTGTAGTTTGCTCCACCAGCTGACCTTTTTGGGCTCCTCTGGTGAACCTCATTCATTCCCACTTCAGAGTCTGGCAGCAGGAGATGCCGTCAGTGTGGAATGCTCTTCCTTCACTCTTTGTCCTGTTTCATGTCTGCTTGCTTTTCTGCCTTCAGCTTAAGTTGTTACTCCTCCCTGGCCCATACAGTCTTCATTGTCCTCCCGGTCTGACCGCCAAGCACACGTTAATATTTAATTGGCAATACCTACCAATATTTGTAACTTATGTCTGCTCTGAATACGACTGTAAGTTCCACATGGAGCGACCAGAGTCTTTTTTAGTTTTTATATATTTTTTATTACCATATCACAATGCCTGGCAGATTGCCTTGCTACCATTTCACCTATACCTTTTGAATAAGTGAATAAACATTGCTCAGGGGGTGCAAATAACTGGGACGCCAACAGGGGTCTTCCTACATTTCTCAGAGGGGGAAGTAAACTTGGTTTCCGTGGCTCCAGTTCTGTGATCTGTGAGCAGTTAATAAACTCCCCAGGATTTCTGGCAGTCCCCAATGACTTATATCTTCATCGACTCTCTGCATTCAGCTCTTGGGCTTGTACAAGCAGTTTCCTTTTTGTCTTTTATCTGCTTATGCGGAAAATGTGGCCTCTTCACTGGTTTCCGTGTAAAATCCACACACAGCACTCACAGGTATTTTGTGAGTTCTTCATCCATCATTTCTCCTCTTTTTGTCCTCACACCCTCCTTTCCTGTTCTTCTCTGATTTTCATCTCTCTTCCTCCCTGGTTTGCCCAAAGAGCTCCACTTCTTTTTCTTCTTTTTCTTATGCAGAGCAAATAAATTCCCCCCAGCTCCTAGATCCAAATGTACACACACAAACTCAACTTTTTGCTCAGGAGAACAAGAAGGTTTTCTCTGTATCAAGATTTATCCTGCTTAGATATACATGGCATCATTCAAAGCAACTGTACTCTTGTATATGTAGATACAGCTTTTTTTCTTCTTCAGAAAAGACCACCTTGAAAAATACAGATGTGATTTTCATTTAGCTCATTTCCTGTTAGAAACCTCAAGAACTTAAGGAGTGGTGTCATGTGACCAGCACCAGTCATTCC